ATACTACTATATGTTAATTTTAGTTAGTAAAATATTCTAAATAATTATTAGGAAAATAAGTACTTATTGAGAAACAATTATGTTAAAAGAAGTTATTTTTTTACTTAATAAAATATTTTTAAAAAAAGTAAGTTAACTATCCACTCATTAAAATCAATTGTTGGAACTCCATAAATACTTTATGAAAGACAAAATATTCATTTTGGTCCCTTAACTATAGGTTATGGTTCATTTTAGTCTCTTATCTTTTTTTTTTGTTGCTAAAATGGTCCTTTAAGTTTCAAAACGCAACTGCGTTAGTCCTTTCGTTAATTGGCCTCCAACGTCCCTTTATTTGCGTGAGGTGGCAAGTGAGGTGGAAGTTTTCTTCTTCTTCTATACATGCAGACATCATATTTGACAGTGGTTCAAAATCTCCTTCATAAAATTTTGTTAACGTTCTCCTTCGCAAAAATTGTTGTACTTTCTTCATCTTCTCCCCTTTCTCCATGAATATGAAGCATTCATCTTCCCCAACGAAGCTCTGTCAATCAGAAAGTGTTGGGTCAGGTGTATAGAGTAGCTCGCGGATCGCACCATTTTTCCGTTACAGAGACAACGCTGTTCTACGTAGGGCAACGACTGAGAAGAATTATGGAAGGAAATTTTGGGGTTGTCACAATTACAAGGTAAGCCCTAATTTTGGTTTGGGTATGTTAGAAGATGTAAACAGAGTTTGAGCAGTTTTTGAAATTTGTAGGGCTCCTTGCAAAGAGGATGTGGCTTCTTCCATTGGTTTCACGAGGAATTGGCAGAAGACATAAACCAAGTCTTGAGTAATAGATTGGAAAACATAGCAAAGGATTTAGATGAAACCAAGAATCAGTACAAAAATTTGAGGTTTAGAAATGAAGAATTAGGGGATGATGTGTTAGAACTTCAAATTCAACTCAACAAGATGTTGAAGTGGAAAAAACATTGAAGATTATGTGTTTTGTAGTGTTATGTGTATTTCTTGTTAAGTTGTATTAGAAGTAGGAGTGTGTAGCAGTTTGTGTGTAATTTTATCTGTTTGGAAAATTAATGTGCAAGCTTACGTGTAATTTTAACATATGTTATCAGTTTAATAAGAATTATTTTGTTTGACATATCATTAATCAAAGCAGACCAGTTTGGCATATTGTTAATTGTAGCAACATAATTTTGGGCACATTATATATGTTAATTGTATTATGAGTCGATGTATGTTAGCATGAGTCGACTCGTGTTAGTTATGTAACACAGAATGAGTCGATACATGTTGTTATGAGTCGATGCAAGCAGATATTACAACATATTACAGAACCAACCATTTTACATGAGTCAATGTATAACACGTATGTGTTGACACATACTGGATTGAATTTTTGATTTTTGAAGACAAAATATGTTATGAGTCGATGCATGATGTTATGTATCGATGCATAAAAGTTCAAAAAAAAATTTCAGAGACACCAACATATCATGTGTCGATGCATGAAGTTATGTATCGATGCATAAAGGTTGAAGGTTCTATTCCAGGGGCATCAACATGTTATGAGTCGATGCATGGCATGGATGTGTCGAATCATACTGAAGCATAATCGTTTTTATGATTCTTTGCTTAAGTATGCATCGATGCAAAGCTGTTTGTGTCGACTCATAACAGTGTTTTATGTACAAAACACATTCTTAACTCATTTTAAACATGTTATACTATATTTTTATAGTGCACACATGTATGTGACATTCATTGATTATTTCACATATATTTACTATCATTCAAAACCAATTATATGAAGGAGTTGCTCACACACAACAGATTAGTTAAACTGAAAATAGGTAGTTGGCATTTGTTGCATAAGTATGTTACATAAGTATGTTCCAAAATACTAACATGTTACATAGACATTTTTCAAAAGCTTGACAGAATGAAATGTTCCAAAAGGTGGACAGAATCACATGTTACATAGACATGTTCCAAAATACATAAACCCTAAAATGATAACTAGATGGTCCTCTTTGATGTGCTTCTCTTGGTTGGAGTAGATCGCCTGGTGGTAGGACCAGTTGCATTCCTGGCTGCTGAGAGTCTTTTTGTTGGTCTAGGGGGTACAAAGGGCCTTCTCACACCTAGTTTTAGTAGTTTTCCAGTTTCATTAGCTTTCTCCTTTGTGTCTTGCCCTGGTACTGACTTTCCTTGTGAAGACTAAGTTGTATTCATGTAACCCTATGTAATTGATGCTTGCGTTGCTGCAACCTGACTTACAGTTGTTTGAGATGCAGTGCCTTGTGTAGCATTGGCTTGACTTGTATTGCCTTGAGCTATAGTGGTTTGAGATGCAGTGCCTTGAGTTGTATTGACTTTGCAGGTTTTCTTATTATGTCCAGTTTTATTGCACAAAGAACACTTTACAATAAAACCATTTCTTCTCAATTTTCTGTCAGTACCATCAATCTCCCCTTGCTCAAGGTTTCTCTTTTTCTTTGGTCTACCAGGCATCTTTCTAAACTTAGGTAGCTGCACATTAGGATATGGAGTTTTGACCCACAGATTGGATCCATTCACACGATAAAGCACAGACTTATATATTGCCTTGTACCTAGATACCATATAATAATCTGAAATGTAATCATCAACTTTAAAATTCTTACTCTTCATGGCTGACATGGCATGGACACGTGGAAGTCCTGTGAGTTCCCACCTTCTGCAGGAGCACAAGTAATCCTTCAAGTTCACAGTGAATGTTTCAGTTGGGTTTTCGACATGCCTTACTTCAAACATATGCGCATCTGACATTCTGCAATTAACATTTAACAATAAACATTAGTCTGCAATTAATATTTAACAATTAACATTTAACAATTAACAGTTAACAGTCTGCAATTAACATTTAACAATAAACAGTTAATAACAACTGACCATACCTGACAAGTCATAAGTTTGTGTAGGCACTTGTTATGTCCATCTTCTTTCTAATATTGGGCAAAATATCATTACCAGATATATCTTGGAATCTCATTTTGTTTTTTGCCCATCTCTCAATCATGTAAGTTCTGATCTCCTATAACATTGTTACTAGTAACTCTCATCTAGGTAACTCTCATCATCACTGTCATCAGAATTGGATTCATCGTGCACCTGACCATCAGTATTTGGCTCCACTTCAGCAGGCTCTACTTCAGCAGGCTCCACTTCAACATTTGTTGCTTCCACCCCTATATTTGCATCATTCAATCCAGCATTGCTTTGTTCCACAATAACACTTGGATCATTCAATCCATCATTTACTTCATCCACCCCAAACAACAGTCTCCTTTAACTTTCCATCAATGTCATCATGCAGCTTGCTAAGCAACTCCTCCATCTCATCTACAATATTCTCAGGCTCCTCAAAGGACCATCAAAATACTCAGGTTGAGACAAACTGTGTTGAATGTAAATATGAACAACATGATGTACCCTGTATAGGTCTGCAATTTCTAGGGCACCTTTGTCATCAACTAGTTCATTCATCCCAAATTGTGGGTCTTTGTAATACATTTTCTATACGTTGTCCGTATAACCTAAGTCTTCCAATACACCAACTAACTCAAAGTAACTCCACCTATCAACATCTACTGACAATTCAGATACCAGGCCTCCTTCAAAGATACTAAGCTCTTGATCAACGAACTCACCACTACGGTGGGTTACGAGTTTTAAAAATTCATCCATTAAACCTAAATCTCGGAAACCCCATAACAAATATTCAGAATCTCATTTCAAATATCCAGAAACAAAGACAAAACAAGATTAACATACCTAGAATCACCTACGGAATCACCTTTGCAAGCCTCTTCGCAAGACTCTTTCTCTTTCCTTTGGCTTTCGTTTTGGACAAACAGAACATACATATAATATCTTCAGCTTTAGGAGATTTTCTGTCCTTATTCTCTGCCACTTGCCTCCAACAAGCCACTTCAAGCATGACAAATGCCACCTGAACTCTGCTTTTTAAATTTCACTAATGTTTCACTAACGGAAGGACTAACGTGGTTACGTTTTGAAACTTAAATGACCATTTTGACACACAAAAAAAAAAGATAAGGGATCAAAGTGAACCGTGACCTATAATTAAGGGACCAAAATGAATATTTTGCCGAACATAAACATGGAAATTTGATATAAAGAAAGATCCTTTTCTATATTCCCCATTTAATGCTCCAGCCATGGATTATGCATAGAAAGGCATTTAACTTCTTACGAGGAGTTAAAGCTATAAATAATATTCTTTGATTTCTAATAAGAATTCTATCAATTCCATAAACAAAGTAAATAATATTTTAATATGGTCGGTATTGTAATTTTTTGCATTCTCAAATCTCAATTCACACTTATTTTTATTAAAATTTGAAACCATAAATACTTATACAACAATAGATTATAGTTGGATATATTTTGAGTATTTAAAATTCATCTGACTAATTCTTAAAGCTTTTCATAGAAACCATCAACACATGATGACTCAAAATCATGGTTTAATAATAGGTTCCTTATTTTAGTATTATTAGTCATATCTTCAATACCAGTTTCATTCTCATCCACTATGAATAATCCCTTTCTCCTTCACTTTTTCCTTCAATCAGCGCCACAATGTGTTACAAAGCAATCAACAAAAATGTGTTCCAAAATTAATTGTTGTTGTATCCATCCACTATGAACAATCTCTTTCTCCTTCACTTTTTCCTTAAACGCTTTCGAAAAAGCATTTCGATTGTCTCAAAACCAATAGGAGGCTTGATAAAATGCAATGGATAGAAAATTATCAAAATTCATTGAGATACAAGTTTAAAATAGTTGAGAAAATGCAGTCGATTGAAAAATGAAATGAAGTGAATGGTAGGAATCAAATTCATTATGTAACATCATAAAATGAAAAGTAAAGGATACATGAAACTCAGTAGAAAAAACAGGGGTAACTTATTACCTCCACTTTGAATTAATAGTTTCATAAACAAAGATGGAGACTTACATTTCAGTAAAAACTGAGCATATCAATATTATATATCTTGATATAAGTCTTGTCATCAACTATCGACATGTCAATATAACTCTTTCCTTTGATTTTTTCAAGAACACCATCCTAATCAAGCACAATGTTGTTCTGGAAGTTGTGGATCACCATCAGCCTTTCAGGTCTCTTCCAGATGTTGCACATGAGTTAACTTGTCATTCAGTTTATCCCTTCTCACTTTCTCATGACCTGCCTTTGAGCCAAAAGCATATGATTCTATCCTTAACCTGAAATCATAGTGGCATGTTAACTGGTGAATTTTAACCATATATAATATCTTTTACAAAGACAAAGATGTTACCGTTTTGAAGGGCCATTTTCGAGTAAAGCTGAATCTAATGAGTATTCCATTTCCAGGCTGCAAATATAGAGTAATAATCAATCACTCACATGCTTATCAATTATAGCATTGGATACAACCTGAAATGAAGCATAACTTTGATTAAAATGATACATCAAGCACTTGGTGCAGAGTACAAAGAACAAAATACAACCTTCAAGAAGTTAGCTTCAATACCTTTCATATTAGGAACATGTGAAAGAAGAAAAACTGCCATAGTGAAGCTGAACTATAAGTGATGTAAGATAAATGAAACAAAGTGAGAGATGTAAGATAAAACCCTAAAACTAAACCCTAAAAAACTGAAATATGAAAAAGGAAAATACTTACCGTTTTAGGGTTTCGGGGAAAAAGAGAGAGAAGAGAAGATGAGAGAGAGAACGAAATGAGGAGGAAGAAGAGAGAGGGGAATGATTTTGAAATGAAAATTGTGATCAATGATAAATTGACACGTGTTGGATTCTTTGACATAATGCACGACTTGTCATTCATTCATTAGTCTAAATTATTAATTTATTGTTGAAAGTGTAGTGTAAATAAATTTGAAGGGAAGGACATTTCTGGTAGTTGAGTGGTGTAAGGGTATGATAGGTTGCAGGTTTTTGTTGAGGTTCCTCGCCCAAATTTAATTTCTCAATCTTATTCTCTCACAATTCAAATTAATTTTCCTAGCTGTTTTGTTGTCTTCAAATCATAAACTATTTATTTTGATGCAGAGTCGATCGAGTTCTCAGAGCTACCAACGCATCAAACCCTACTTCACACTTTCAGGTTCCCAACTTTTTATTGCATCAATCCCTTTCTATAGTTCTCTTTGTCAAATGCTTGTTTGTTTTAGAGTTTTGAAGTTATTTTTTTGGATCAGAGACAGACAAGTTGTTATGGTTTAAGTGATTTTACAATGGGTGGTAGAAATAAGAAAGTTTGTATTGATGACAATACCAATAAGCAAAAAACCATCAAGTCTAGCTGGAGACCTATTGTCACTAATGCTACTTCTTCTCAAGGTTTGTCTTTTTTTCTCATGCAGTATTATGTTCATCATACATGCCGTTTCTTCTATATTACATCACAATCACATGCTTTGCAGAAACCTCAATAGCGGCTGCCACGCTTGACTCAGGAGATCAAACTCAAGTGGGTTGTAGCACATCTATCTCAAATCAGCATCTCATGAAGGTAGCTGCTGATCAAGATTGTTCCGCCGCCCAAATGCAGGATAATATTGAAAACAAACTACAAGGAGATTCATCCCTCTCCACTGAAAAGCATTCCATTTCTGTTCAGGCAAGATTATATTTTTTCATTATTTATCATGGCAAAATATGCTATCACCTGCTGATTTTTCATTTTGTGTTTGTCTTGCAGGTTGGGGCTTCTCTATTTCGTTTTATTAAAGGAAAAGGGTAAAAACTAGTTTTTAATTTGTTTGGCATTGGTAACAATATTGCTTAGCCCACTGGAATTAGATAACTTTCATTTGTAAGGGTGGATCAGTATGACACGGCTGAAACTGATGGCGAAATGTAATTAGTGATAGGCAGAGAAGGAAAAATAGTAATGCCTGTCAAGAATAGTAAATAGTTTAGGCTTCAGATTCACATTCTCAACATCATCATACGGATACCAATAATACAAAATCTTGTTGCTATTGTTATCATCAAAGAGAGAGTGTAGAAAATAGTTCTTAATTCTTATGATTTAAGATTATATACTTGTCACTCATACTTAATAGTGTTTCAGGGGATACACACAAAAGAAGATAGAAGAGGAGACGAAGGTTAAGATAATATTTCCTTCTTCAAAAGAAGAGGAGTTTATTAGTAAGTTTTTGGGTTCACCTAATCCACCGTTTTTCTCCATGTGTCAGCTTTGAAATAGTTATTTTCTATTTTTTATAGATTGAGATATTAAAATGATGACATATTTCTAGGCAATGTAGAACTATATCCAATCCTTCACATCCAAAATAATGAAAGTGTCTGCGGCTAGGGGCAGACGGAGACCGCAATGATGGTGTGAAATTTCCAACACCCCTCTCACACTCGGGCCTAAATGGGCTTGAAGCGTAGACGCTGTAGGAAGCCCAACAACAAATCTAGGATAGGCTGTGATATCATATTAAAATTGTGGTCGAGCCTAACTCAACTTTACAAAACTGACTTGTAAGGTGAGAGCTGCCCAAACTTCATAAACACTACACATGCCATATCTCTAGGCAATGTGAGACTAAATTCACCCCTTCACATCCAACACAATTAAAGTGTGGATAACTAAGGTGGACCGCAATGAAGGTGAAACTTCCAACAATTATAGGTCAGAAACTTAAATTAGGCTGACTCTTATATCGGCCGAGTGTCAAAAGCAGAACTTCCATATGAAGTAGAAGCTCTCCCCTCTTAACAACTTGGCAATTTGGAGCAAGATCTTGTCTGCATCATTAAGACTCTCGCAAGAGTGGATAACAAAATCCAATATCTAAATGATTAATGTTGACGTTTTAGAGTTTTAGATAAAGGAGAAAAAAGAAAAAAAAGAATTTGAATTGCTTTTGATGGTTTAATTTGATTTGATACAGAAGACTAAGTTATTGATGAATAAGAGCAAGATATGATATGATATTTTTCATATCATCTAACTGGTATAATTTTCTTTTGCAGCCATTGAAGGCATTTCAATAGATAGCGTGACTTCAGCTTCAGAGAAGATTCAGGCTATAATTGATGAGGTCAGTTGTCTGTCCATGTGATCTCTCGATCTCAAGAAATTTACGGCTATAATGACCTTTTTCCAATTTGTTTCTTTTAATGTTGGTGGTGCTGACTTGAGTTGATATTACTTCACATTCACAAACTATGGTTCACATATTTTCTTGTGTTTGATAACAGACAGTTAGGAGTCGAAATCTTGATTATTCCCATTTCATATCCCTTCCATTGGCCATCCATCCCGAGTTAGTTTCTAAACTAATCAACTTTCAAAACACTATTTTGGGAAATGATGATTCTTGCATAGATGAGAATCTTGACACTGACTCCAATGAGGCTGAGGATACTACTGATAACAAAGAAGGGGATCAAGTGTCAAAAGAAATTGCCGATGTTGCAGTTGAACTTAAAGTTGATGATAACAGTAAATCAGTTAAAGTTAATCATACTAGCATACCGCTAGTCAGTTATGCACCTAAAGCATCCAAGGCTTCCACTTCATCTGGTACGAGAACAATCTGTTTTTCAATGTTTTAAATTCCTAAAAGATTGTGAAGTGATCTGCGTCGTGTAATCAACTCAGCAGCACTGTATTCTTTAGTGCGTGTTAGTTTGTGTTTCATTACATTTTTCTGTTGATTATAATCTATAAAGTACGGCCACCCTGGACACGGCGATGCCGGTAATAATTTGAAAAAATAAATAAATTAAACGTAATCTCAAGTGTCAGTGTAGGTGTCCAACCCCGACACGGACACGGACACACTTTTTTCCAGAGGTGTCGGTGCTATATAGATTATAATCTAACACTTTCTGGGCCTAAACTAAGAATCCTAGTTAATCATTTATGAAAGCATTGTATATTCCCAAGACATGCTTATATTACTTGTTAAATAGTCATATTTGCATAGCTTATGAGATTGACTTTTCATGTTGAAACTCATCAAGGATTATAAATGTTGCTTCTTATGTTTTAATCTCATTCTTCTATGCGCTACTTTTTAATATGAAATATGACTTTTTTTTCACTCTTACAGACTTGGGGATTGACAAATCTATATTCATTAAGCCTAAGACATTTCACCTTACAGTACTAATGCTTAAGCTGTGGAATAAAGACAGGGTTAAGATAGCAACTGAGGTCTTGCAGGTAAGTTTTATTAAACTCAACATAATAATAGAGTTTGTAAGTTAAATTCTTTCTTCATAATTATATTTATATCTGTGCAGAGTATCTCCTCAAAAGTTATGGAAGCATTGGATGATCGTCCTATCTCAATAGGATTAAAGGGACTGGTAAGAGTCTATTTTGAACTCCAATTCATCAAAACAAGACTCAAGTATCCCTTTCACTAAACTTATGGAATAAATACATGTTGATTTCTGCAAAGTGTCTTTTTGTTGCATTTAAAATTATGATATTGTTAGGCTGGACACCATGACCAGGTTCGAACCTGAGATCTTGGAGGTGTGTGTATGTGAGTTTATAGTGGTTATTAGTTATTACTATTTAGAAGCACTTAGCTCTGGGATTATAGGGATTCGTCTCTGAAATTGGGATTATAGGGATTCGTCTCTGAAATTGGGATTATAGGGATTCGTCTCTGAAATAGGGATTATATGTTGAATAAATACTTGTGTTCTTGTACCATCAGATTTGACCTTGTGCAATTTGTTTGGTATTTTTAGTAAGGCTAACATATGTTTAATCTTGCAGGAATGCATGAAAGGTTCAGTGGCCAAAGCTCGTGTCCTGTATGCTCCGGTGGAAGAAATTGGCAGCGAGGGTCGTCTGTTACGTGCCTGTCGTATCCATATATGAATAACTCCTTGTGCTTTTCTTTTGGTATAACAAAATTTGTTTTTTAGTTCTGTAAATCAAATTCATTATGGATTAGTGACCATACCTGGTTTTGATTATACATTATGCTCAAAATATTGTTGTTTCTGAGCTTATTTAGAAGTCATAATTGATGCATATATTGAAGCCGGACTAGTCTTGGAGAATGACGCCAAACAAACACTGAAGGTAAATTAAATTTAGCAGATTCATTGTTCATACACGCATATCTTGGAAAAAAAGTCATAATAAAAATGTGGTGCAAGTGCAACTTGCTTGTAGGTTTGATAGTTTCAGTGACCATGAGTGTTTTCTATTGTTGCAGATGCACGCCACTTTGATGAATTCAAGGCATAGGAAAAAGTACTGCCATCCTATTTATCTTTTCTTTTAGACTTCAAGCATATCAAAGTTTTTGCAGCTCTACAACCTCCCTTGTTTTTTGAAACTTCATTAGATTATTTCAGTTTTAATAGCTGATATAAGCTGCTGGTGTTCAGGACAAAGTGGAAGAGAAATAACGTCGACTCTTTCGATGCACGAGGCATATTCGAGAAGTATGGATCAGAGGACTGGGGGCAGTATCTTATTCGTGAAGCTCATCTTTCAAAGAGATTTTCATTTGATGAAAAGGGATACTATCATTGCTGTGCTTCAATACCTTTTCCTGAAAATATGCAGGTAGAGTGATTGATATCCATTTCTCCTCTGTGGAAGGAATTATGGGAGTTGTTTCTCAAAATCTTTTTTGAGCTTATCTAGTAGCTAATTTAAATGCTTGTCGACACCAACTTGGATGGCATAACTAGAAAAGAGTGGATACTAGTAGTGCATGGGATTTTGATAGATTTTGTATGTAAAATGTTTTGCTTGACATGTGACATGGTTTCTTCTAGTGCTCGACCCGACTTCTTAATTGTGTGAAATGTCAAATGTTTTTTTTCTTCTTGTCAGTTGGAATCTATTGATTGTTAGATTTTTTGACTGCATCATTAAATTCTTTTTTTTTTTTTTTGTTATTAGTTATGCTATTGCTACATTGCAATGTGAAAATTTACCAAAAACAAAGAATTTGTTACTAATAAGGGAAAGTAAAAAAGAAAAGTCTATACAAGATTAATGAACAATTTTGTGAAAATAAACATACTATATGTGACAATAAATATGTTTCCGAAATAATATGGCTGTTCGTATTCAAACTCATTTAAATTGCAATTGCAAGTTGATCTTAAAAAGTAATCCTTTTTTGTGTGTAAAAAGTAGTCCTGTAATGTAATTTTTTTGGTGGTTCTAGTTTTTTTTGTCTAGTATAACATGTTTATAGTGATGTTTATATTTGTTATTATTGTCTTCTTATAACATATTTGCATTTTTATAATAATAATAATAATAATAATAATAATAATAATAATAATAATAATAATAATAATAATAATAATAATAATAATAATAATAATAATAATAATAATAATAATTATTATTATTATTATTATTATTATTATTATTATTATTATTATTATTATTATTATTATTATTATTATTATTATTATTAAAAGCATTAAATTTACAATATAGATTTTAAAGATTCTAAATTTAAATTATATATAGAAGAAGTGGTTCCATAATAGCATTCATAAGAGATATGAAAGGGCATTCCCAAAATAAAACATTGAGAGCAAAATAATCTCACATAAGACTTTCATCATACTATCAAACAAACAAAGAAAAACGACATCATCAACTCATTTCCACCTTCACATACATGTACAGAGAAAATCATAACATACTCTAAATCAATGTATCACCATTACAAAGTTTTTTACTCTGAACAAATTCGTATCATCTCAATTTCATGTATTTTTCGTACATGTTCAGTTCATTCTTCCTTATTGTTGTATGAACCTGACACGTGAAATTTTTCTTGTATCCACACTCATCACTTTGATTGCCTTTTGCATTACTCGAATGCATCTTTTAACTATCGTCTTGGGAAAATGTTGCATATATATAAAAGTGATAACAAAACAAGTATATTCTTTGGCCATTAACATATTCTATATCACATACACATGTATACTTACCATGACATTGTTTACACTGCTTTTGACGTTTTTTTATAGGACTCTTCCAAATAAATTTTTTAGTCCCCATTGACCAGTCTTCCGTAATTTCATTTGGCACTCTTGCTTTCCCAACAATTTTATGTGGGTACACGAATCGATACCAATTTCTGCTCCATGTCTTGTACATCAATGTTAATTTTGGAATAAAAGAAATTATTGCATTCTGTTTTTTTTCTTCTTGGCAAAAGTACAGAAGTAGAGCCTATTATATAGCAGTACAGAAGCACAACTTACTAACTAACTATATAAGGCTAAACTAATTTTGTTACTTCTACTCTAAGGATAACTATATTTGTTATTTACATCATGTAATAGCCCCCCACAAGCTGGACTATGAATGTCCAATAGGCTAAGCTTGGAAACCAATGAATCAAAGGAGGAGACGGGTAACGGCTTAGTGAGAACATCTGCTAGTTGAGCAGAAGAAGAAACGGGTAAGAGGTGAATGAGGCCAGTTTGGATTTTCTCATGAATGACATGGCAATCAATTTCAATATGTTTTGTTCGTTCGTGGAAAGTTGGGTTGTGGGCAAGGTAGATAGCACTTTTGTTATCGCAGTAGACTGAACTAGGTTGATCAAATGAGATATGAAGATCCTTGAACAAATACTGCAGCCATTTTAATTCACAAGCCAAGCTAGCCAGAGCCCGATACTCTGCTTCTGAACTGGATCTGGATACCGTGGACTGTTTTTTTTATTTCCAGGATAAGAGGGAGGTGCCAAGAAACACACAATAACCAGTCACGGATCTGCGAGTAGCAGGGCAACATGCCCAATCTGAATCTGCGAAACCAGAAAGTTTGAGGATGGAGGAGGAAGAATAGAACAAACCCTTGGCCGGAGCACCTTTGAGATATTTAAGAACGCGAATAGCTGTTGAATGATGAACTTGCAGAGGTTGTGATATGAACTGACTGAGTTGTTGAACAATGAAGGCAATGTCAGGCCTGGTGGTAGTGAGAAATAGAAGTTGTCCAACAAGTCGTCTATAAGCTGAGACATCCTCATAAGGTGGTGAATCAGTATCATGAAGTTTCAATGAGGAATCAAAGGGAGTTGAACTAGGTTTAGTAGCCAAGAAACCATTGTCCTCAAGTAATTCCAAAGCATACTTTCGTTGGTTAAGAAAAATGCCTTGAGTGGATCTTGCAACTTCCAAACCAAGAAAGTATTTTAGCTTACCAAGGTCCTTGATTTTGAATGTGGAATCGAGGAAGCCTTTAACAGAGTGAATTTCCTGCAAGTCATTTCCAGCTAAAACAATGTCATCAACGTAGACTAATAATGTAGTAAAACGAGAGTCATGTGATTTTGTGAATAAGGAATGGCCAGCAGAAGAATGAGAGTAGCCAAGGGAGATAAGGGCCATGGATAATTTTGAAAACCATTGTCTGCTAGCCTGCTTCAGTCCATAGAGGGATTTATGTAACTTGCAGACTTTGTTGGCAGAAGATGCAGAGGACATGAATCCAGGAGGTAGATCCATATACACTTCTTCATGCAGATCACCGTGAAGAAAGGCATTGTTGATGTCGAGTTGTTCTAAGTGCCAACCCTTGATGGCAGCCACTGATAGAATGGTGCGAATTGTGGTAAGCTTCGCAACAGGTGAAAAAGTGTCAAAGTAATCCACTCCCTCCAGCTGAGTATATCCTTTTGCTACCAAACGGGCCTTGTATCGTTCAATGGATCCATCAGCATGATGTTTGATCTTGTAGACCCATTTGCAACCAATTGGTTGCTTACCTGCAGGCAAATCAACAACAGACCAAGTATTTGTGGATGCAAGAGCATCCAACTCAGATTTCATAGCATTATTCCAACAGTCAAACTTGCAGGCTTGTTTATAGGTTTTGGGTTCTAAGAGAGAGCTAATGGACAGACAAAAGAATTTATGATCTGGACTACATTGGTTATAAGACATAACAGAAAAGAGAGCATAATTGGAGGTACCTGTGTCAGATGCTGGCAGCATTGAGGATAGCAAATTGCAGTGATAATCAGAGAGATAGGCTGGAGGTTTGGGATGTCTATTTGATTTTCTGGTTAGTAAAGGAGGGTTGGAACAGGGGAAATCAGTAATGTCATTTGAGGGAGAAGAGAGTCTGGTAGGAGAAGAAGTATTGGACTGGGGGAGAGGGGGGTGTGGGAGGTTCATTTGGTTGAGTTAAGGGTGGTGGAATGTTGGTGAGGTTATCAGGTGGGTCAAATAAAGGAGTTTCAGCATTGGAAATTGTAGGATTAGGTGCAGTGGTAGGTGAGGTTGATGCAAAGGGAAATACAGTTTCATAGAAGACTACATGTCTTGAAACATAAAACTCACGTGAGATGGGATCATAAAGAAGAAACCCTTTTGTGCCTTCCCTATAGCCAAGAAAGATGGATTTCCTTGCTCTTGGTTCAAATTTTGTACGATGGTTATGTAATGTGGAAGAGTAGGCAAGGCAGCCAAAACACGTAAATGGTTAAGGTTGGGAGGAGTAGAGTGAAGTGTTTGATAGGGGGATATGTTGTTAAGGAGAGGAGTGGGAAGACGGTTAATAATGTGAATGGCCTGCTGTATAGAAAGATGCCAAAGGTTATGAGGAAGATGAGAGTGGAAAGAAAGGGCACGTGCAACATTCAGGATGTGCTGGTGTTTTCTTTCCACGATACTGTTTTGTTGAGGTGTTTCAACGCAAGACCTGTGATGGATAATTCCTTTAGAAAGGTAGAAGTTTGTCATGAGAAACTCAGGGCCATTGTCACTACGGATGCATTTGAGTTTCTTGCCAAATTGAGTTTCTATGAAGGAGATGAAATGAACTAAGTGAGTTATGGTTTCACTTTTATTGGTCATAAAAATTGTCCAAGTAAATCTGCTGTAGTCATCTACAAGGGTTAAGAAGTACTTATGGCCACATATGGAAGGGGTGGAAAGAGGTCCCCAAATATCAGCATGAATTAAATCAAAAATGGCTACAAATTTATTAGTACTATGAGCAAAAGGCAAATGTTTTTGTTTGGCCAAATGGCAAGTATTACACAATTGATGATTGTTATTGAAAGTGACAAAAGGAAATTGAGATGAGATATATTTGTGTATATAAGGACTTAAGTGTCCTAGTCTAAAATGCCAAATAGTGGCATGATCATGCTTGGAAGGATCGAATGGAGGAGAGATGGAGGTGTTGACAGAACCAGGTGTGTATGGTAAGGCTTTAGGTGTGGTGGCATCAAGAACATACAATTTTCCAATCCTCCTAACTGTAAATCCAGTCATCTTGGGGTGGAGCAACTGCACAATTTGACAGCAGTTAGGGAAAAATTTCACATCATATAACGAGGAGTCAAAAAGGGTAGTGACTGATATAATGTTAACATGAAACGAAGGAAAATAGTAAACATTGTGGAGGATAATGGATTCACATAACATAATTAATCCAGCAATGGTGGTAGTAACCGTATCACCATTAGGCATGGTCATGGATTTAGGTGCAATTTGATATGTGGAAAGAAAACTAGTAAAGTTATGAGTGATATGGTCTGTGGCGCCCGTGTCAACGATCCACCAATTATGATAAGA